AAAAAAAAAAAAAGCCCCAGTACAGCACCAAATAATTTCCAGGACCCTGTATGTGGAACTCCTCGTGGCTCCCATGTGATGTGGATGACATAAAAGGACACAGACACCAGAAGGGGCCTGCTGTGGTGACTCTTCACGCTAGCCCATTCTGTGTCTTCTAGACCAAGGTGGACTTTTATTTTTGCTCTTTTTCCCCTTTCCTCTTTTGTTTGGCCCAAGTTTGCTCTGCAGAGCCAGTTTTTCCCTTACCCCTTCATCCTTTACTTTTCTTTTCTTTTCTTCTTTTTTTTTAATTTTTTGTCTTTTTGAGACAGGATCTCGCTGTGCAGTTCAGGCCAGCCGTGAGCTCACTCTGTAGCCCAGGCTAGTCTTGAACTCACAATGATCCTCCTGCCTCAGCCTCCCGAGTGCTGGGATTACAGGCGGGCACCACCACACCTGGCCATCGTTCACTTTCAGATAAACATTTGGAACTGTTTTTGGCTTATCTCGTTCAATTCTTTGTTCAAGGCAAGAAGGACCTGGAATACATTTAATTGCAAGCCATTTCTAAAGCCGTTTCTAACTACTCACTACCAGTGGCTGATATGAGTTGGCACAGCAAGCCTAGGATGTCCCTGCTTCTGATTCTTCGCTCACCTCCCTCAGAACGGTCTGCTCAGGCCCTGAGTACCTCTGTGATGCCGCCTGGCCCACCTGCTTTTTTATGGCTGGAGACGTACACAGAAGACCAGTGGGAGAAGGCCAGGGGGTCTCATTTGAAGAAGTTCTTAGTGAAGGCTGAGGCTGCGTCTGCCGTGTAACAGCAGCGCTTTGGGGAGGAAAAAGTCTTTGCTGCCTTGTGAATCAAAACTTTTCTTAATGGGGGCTCTGTGCCTGCTGGCTCAGCTATTTTTTTTCTTTTTTTCTTTTTTGAGACAGGGTCTCGCTATGCAGCTCAGGCTGGTCTTACACTCACTTTGTAGCCCAGACTGGTCTCGAACTCACAATGATCCTCCTGCCTCAGCCTCCCGAGTGCTGGGATTACAGGTGTGGGCCACCATGCCCAGCTTTTTTTTTTTTGTATCTGGAATTGAAGACAGAGAGAGAGTGCACGTTCACACTGAATATATCTCCAGCCACCCTCCTCTTTTCTTTTTTATTTTGAGATACAGTTTTACTAATTTGCCCTGGCTGGGCTCAAAATTGAAATCCTCCTACTTTAGCCTCCCAGAGCGCTGGGACTTTAGGTGTGTAGCACGATGAGGTTAACCTGGTCTCTCTGCGGTAGAAGGTGGTGTGGGATCTCCTTGGGCTTTGTGTACTAAGATGCAGCAAGAGTCAGGCTGGGAACCGGTTCAGCTGGGTCAGGAGAAAGTGGTGTCATTGCTGCTGGTCAGCCTGTGGGTTTTTGCTGTTATTGTTTTGGGGTTTTCTTCATCAAAGGCTTTATTGTGAGAGTGGCTTAGTAGTTTCCCCCTTTGAGTTGCATTAACATGTTTTTTGTTTAAAGAAAAAGAGAGAGGGGCTGGGGATTTAGCTCAGCAGCACAGCGCCTGCCTGGCAAGTGCAAGGTCATGAGTTCGATTCCTGGTACCGGAAGAAAAACAAAAACACACAAACAAACAAAAAAGAAAGAAAAAGAGAGAACCCCGAGCAGATGAAGCTAGAAGCTGCAAAGAAACAGAAAATGAAAAAGCCAAACTGAACACTTCAGAAAGGGCAGGGGGGAAGCAGGTGTGAACCTTTTGTTCTTTGCTAATGTTTTGCTTTCAAAACATCTGTCAGTATGTTGCCACCTTCAGTGTTTTCTTCTCATGAACTTTTAAAATGAATATGAAAAGGGTGTCGCACTTCTGATAAAAATAATTATTTTGTGTTCACATAAAGCGAGTTTATTTCACATCTTAGAGGGCTGGGTCGACCTTCAGCTTTCTGCTTGTGTGTTGTGCACGGTATGTGCAGGGACTGATGTGCGCTGGGGTCAGCGGCCTTGTTCTGTCCGGGAAGGGCTTTGGCATTTGCAGCATGGAATCCTAGGAATCGCTTTGGTCTCTTGTGGACACCTGGGGGCCCTTCTGTGTGTTTTCATGGGAGCCCCCACTTGTCATTGTGACATGGAAATGCTTGCAGTGTAATTCTATTGTCCTGTGACTTGTAGCCATGCTTGAAAAGAGAAAGCAGATTTTCCATTTCAAAAGATTTGGTCAGGATAAGCTTGTCACTGGCAGGGTTTGCTCACATGTCCTTTTCCTGCGTAGAGCAAGGTACAGCGGGTAGCGCGTAAGCCGGGGGAACAGGGCTGGGCGAGCGGGATTGCCTTTTGTCCCTTGTGTCTTGCTGTGCGGTGGAAGTAGGACCTGTTGTCCTTGTTTTTTTTTTAGTCTTTGGTTTCATTTGAGCAGGAACTAAAAATCCACAGAAGGTAGAACAGGTTGGTAATGTGAGCTGCTGTCTGGTGCGGAGGAAACCCAGCTCTTGAAGCTGTGCGTGAGCGCCCTAAGGGAACTGGCCTTTCCCCCATGTGTTTGGGCCTCTTGTGTGTGTTTGGTTTTGCTTTAAATAAATGACCTGTCAGAAATAATTGTTCACTTGGTAACACTCAGTATAGCCACATCCTGCCCAGGAGCAGAGCTACAGCAATCGGAAAGGAATAGGCTCACACTTGTCCTGACTTTTCCTCACCTGACTGCTCCGTTTTCCACTACTAACTTGTTTCAGATGATAGTGTAAATAGCTGCCTTTGTCCAGCAGAACAAAGACACAAGCCTGA